GTGTGTGTGTGTGTGTGTGTGTGTGTGTGTGTGTGTGTGACTCTCTGTCTCTCTGTGTGTGTCTGTCTCTGTCTCTGTCTCTCTCTCTCTCCCTCATTTGATATGGGAAAATGGCATATATGTCGCCATTCCTTTCTAAGCCACTGCCTGGGTTATTGAAAAGTAAACCACTGACAAAGAGAACATTAACTGGAAGGACCTTATAATAACCACCTTCAGGGCAGTTGGAGATTGTCTAAGAGTATCTGGCTTTCCCTACTTCTCAGCCCTAACAGGTATACTCCAGATGGAGAGGATGCTTCATTAACTCCTGTCAGTTCCCAGTATTGCTAAGATGTTCTCAGATTCTTATGTAAGTCATAGACTAATGAACCAAGGTAGATGCCAAAGGCTATCTTCGAAGAGACTCTGAACCCAATCAAGCAAAGACAAGGTGTGAACAAACTTTATCATAATTATATTATTTTATTTTAAGCAAATAGGGCTAACCATGATGAGTAAACTTAGCTCTTGAATCTTGGTCATAAACCTGCGGGCATTTCTCTTGTCCTTGTAGTATAATGCCAATGAGAGATTAAGCTGGAAAATAAACCTACAAATGAGTATCTATCTTATAATTAGTGAGCACTCACCTCTATATAAAATCACATTCTGGGCTCTAATAGCAGCACTTTATACTCACCCTGAGCCTTTCATCTAAGATGCTCAAAGCACTTCTTGCTTATGCCGGCCCTAATGTCTCCAGGTTCCTGTGAACCGGGAGTAGGATGCCCACCCACAAGGCATCTTGGCCACTGCTGAAGTCAGAGCCTTCCTGTCTCCCTCCTGAGTAATCATGGATGGCATCCCTCCCCATCATTACTGCCCCAGCCCCTGAAAGACCAATGAAGGCACTTCTGTTTGAAGCCACGTGGTAAGTAATGAGATGGAAAGGAAACTACCATTAGAGTTGGATTAGACTGCACATCTTGGCTCTGGCGTTTGTAAATTATCTAGCCTTTCTGAGCCTTGATTTGCTCTTTTAGGGTTAAGAACATAAGCTGTTACATACATTTTGGCTGTCAGTCTTTGCTTAGGGAACACAGCAGTATTATCCTTCCATCGTCAACTTCATTAACTCTTTAAGCTAAGTGATGTATCTGATCAACACTGAGTTAAGGGTTTACAGGGGAATGCTGCCCAGAGGAAGCATCTAATAAACATCAGTGAAGATGTTTTGCTTTAGAAGACGTCTGTATATATCCCAAACCAACTTAGATTTTTTTCCATAAGATCATGTCCATTATTATCGCAAGTAAAGGCTAATCTACAGTATAAAGCTTTAAAGCCAGGTATGGTGGTCCATGCCTGTAACCCAGGTACTTGAAAAGTAGAGGCAGGATGATCAGGAGTTCAAGGTCATTCGTGGATATAGAGCAAGTTCAAAGCCAGACAGGGCTGCATGAGCATGTCTTAAAACACAACAACAACAGTAACAATAACAATAAACCCTTAAGCACTATTATCATTCTCTTAATATATATACTTGGATTGATTCTCCATCTGCCCTCACATTCTGCATTTATAACCAAAGGGCTGTTATGGATAGTATCATTTCATTAAATAACAAAAAAAAGTTAGAATTGAAGAGATGGCTTAGTGGTTAAGGAGACTGGCTGCTTTTGCAGAGAACAAAGGTTCAGTTCCCAGCACCTACATGGTGATTCACAACCTTCTACAACTCCAGTTCCAGGATCTCAAGTGCCCTCTTCAGACTACCAAGGGTACCAGGCACATATGCAGTGCACATACCCACATGTAAGCAACCACTCATATCCATAAAATTAAAATAAATAAATCATCTTTAAAATAAATAAAAAGTTATTTGCAGCTATGATTTTTTGAAATTGTCTTGTATATTTTAGAATCTATTCACTGTTCTTTATGGACTTGTTTGATTTTTTTAGGAAGAAAATGCTTCATCCCTTTTAGCTATTTAAAAACAAAATAATACAGCTTGGATGCATTTATTCTGCTAAATTCTTCCATAACTACCAAAAATTCAGTCAAAATACTCATCAATCAAAACCTATAAAGTCATAATGAGTCCCCATTTTCCTGATTTGACAACAGTGTTTAACTTATGGATTTGGCAGCTATAACAACAGCATCACATATACTCAGAACTTACTGATCTAACAACATTGGCCAGTTCCAACTATTCCAATGATGAGAAAGAAAGAGCAGAGAGTGGAGAGGGCAAGTTTCTGAGTAGGAATGAATAGATAAAAGTGCTAAACATTGATGTCAAATGGTGGGAACTGTATTACTAAGAGAGTTCTCAAACAGTCTCTCAGATGAAAGTTGCTCTTATCCACAATTCTAGAAAGATTCTCACTCCAATTTCTCCCATGATCAGCAGATCAATCAGGCCTGGGAACTCATACCTATCAACCTATTAAGCCATAGAACCAACTCAGTCATTGCCCTGACCCCACCCCACCCCCAGTTCACATCTTGGTTGGAAGTAGAAAAGAGAAATATAAAGAATATAACTAAAGGGCATAAAGAGTATCCCTGGTCATAATCTCAACAGACATTGAGATAAGTGAGAAACCAGCTTCACTAGACTGAATTGTTTGAAAACATTATAGAGGAGAACTGTCTGTGTTTTTAAACAGTGAAAACTGAGATTGTGTGTGGAACCATCCTATTTGACCCAAAGATGAATTTTGGACTCCTTACATTTTCTTTTGCAAGGTTAACAAAGTAGTTAGGACTGGGAAACCTATTAGTGCCATCTTCTTTCTCTCTCTCTGAAGTATGTGTCCATTTCAATATTCAAGTCAGGCAACACTAATAGATTCTGCTAATCATCATGTTAAAACCTTAACTGGAGCTAACTTTAGGGCTGGAGAGTGAGTGTGGCTTAGAAGCAAAGCACTTGCCTAGCATGTGAGAGGCATCAAACAGGCTGGAAAATACCTGAAAGTAAAAAGATTTCTCAGAAGAAAAGACGCACAGCTTTGGAAAACTCCAGATAGTGGGGTGGTAGTGCACGCCTTTAATCCTAGCACTCAGGAGGCAGAGATAGGCATATCTCTGTGAGTTTGAGGCCAGTATGGGCTGCAGAGCAAGTTCCAGGAGAGCCAAGGTTACACAGAGAACCCCCATATGGAGAAAAGAAAAAGAGGAAAAGGAAGAAGAAACCCTCAGATATCTAAAATATACTGGTGGCTTCTTTGCACAAAGCTGGAAAACTGATTAAAGGGAACTTAAGGTGGAAAAGGACATATTTGCAGAGTAAGGCTTTGGGATGTGTACTTGAACACAATTGTAGTTTTTAAGGTCTTCTTTTACCATGATAACCTTGTTTGTTTTGTTTTGGTTTTTCAAGATAGGGTTTCTTAGTGTATCTCTGGCTGCCTTGAACTTTGTCGAGCTGGTTGGCTTTGGACTCAGAGATCTGCCTGCCTCTGCTTCCCAAGTGCTGAGACTAATGGTGTGCACCACCATGTCTGGGTCTATTATACTCTTTAAATAGTTTGAATGAAAGAGTGGAGGCATTTTTTAAAGTTTAAAGTTTTAAAGGCTATGTGACCTATATAGGGTCTGCCGCCAGTTCCACTCCAAAGACCTGACACTCCACAGCAGCACTGGCACCTTCTAAGGAACAGCTGTCCTTCAAGGAGGTTCCCAATGGAGGCAGGTAGAATCCTTGAGAAGGAATGTGTAACAATAAATCTTTCCGCCACAGCCACCCGAGCCCTGCTGTCACGTGGGTGCTTTTCCACCAGGCTGCCCAAGTTCCCCCGCCACCATGTTAAGGTCCCAAGTAACACAGAGAGACTTATATTAGGTACAAATGCTGCTTGGCCAATGACTAGGATTTCTCATCTGCTAGCTCAGTCTTAATTATCATAAATCTATAAGACTTGTCTTATAGAGGATGCCTTCCGCTGGCACCCTCTCTTGCCAGCAGATCACATGATGACTCCAGAGCAGAGACCAGGAAGAAAAGAGAGGGGAAAAAGGTTGTGACTTCCTTCCTGCCCTTGCTTATATATGAGTCTCACTGCTATGTCACTTCCTACCTGGATTACCACTTCTTTACTACATTTCCCAGAATCTTCCTTGACTCCTAGTCCAGCCTAACTTGCTGCCTCATTGTCCAAACACTACTTTATTTATCATCCAATAAGACAAACACATACACAGAAGCACTTCCCCCATTAGGAATGCCTTAATGAGAAGGTGGGGTTCTATAGGAACAGGCCTATTCCACCCCTAAAATGAGTTGCTTTTGGTCCAGTGGAAAGCATGGACATAAATAGAAACAAATAAGAGTTATAGTTAATTTTCATTGGCAACTTGACTGAAATTACTATCACCTGGGAGGGCTGAGGATTTAGTTCAGTTGGTAATGTGCTTTTCCAATATAAATAAAGTCCCAGGTTCAAACCCCAGCACCATCAAAAGTGGGTAGTGTAGCATGTTCCTCTCACACCAGCATTTGGGAGGTGGAAGTAGGAGAATCAGGAGCTCAAGGTCATCTTTGGCTATCCAGAATCTTCTAGGAGACTGATAAGGTCTACCTGTGGGTGTTTCTGCACAGTTCCTTCTAAAGAGGATTAACTAAGACCCTCCTAAATGTGAGTAGCACACCCCGTGGGCTAGGGGCTGGGATGGAATAAAAGAGGAAAGGAGAGGAGACATATCTAGAAAGGATTCCCTGGGATTCTGTGTCATGCCCACCTTGATATGAACTGCTCTGTTCTGCCACACCCTTCCAGCCAGGAGTGACAGACACCTCTGAAACCGTGAGCCAAATTCATTCTTCCTCCTTTAAGTTGTATGATTCAGGCATTCTGTCAGCAAGAAGAAAATTAACTAATATAACACACAACCTAAGTGAATGACACTGGCCAGAAGCCTAAATGATAGAAGCTAGGTGCAAGGTAGTGGCCCTAATCAGAGCTGGCTGTGACAACTCAGAGAAGGGCATTTGTGGAAAGTGACCTCTGCATGTCGGGTTAGAAACTCTGCACTAATTTGACAAGAGGAGATACAAAAATAAATGGAGACATGGAGCCTTGTACATTTGCTTGCAGAGCATGGAAGCAAAAATAAACAAAGCAAACCCCAGGGATGGAAGCCAAAGCTGCCTCACCCAGAGCTAAGGAACCTGGGTGGAACTAACTAGAGATAAAAGCCCAGTCTGGTCTCCAAGACTAGAGTAACAGGCCGTGGCTTTCTCCAGTCCCCTGGTGAACATAAATATAAAACAATGGCCAACCATTGATTCCTTACCACTAAGTAGAATACAAGCAAGGAAGACAACAAATCTCTCAATATTAAATTAATGATAAATGTTCAGGCAAGGACTATTTGCAAGTACATCCTAGATGAAAGATCAAAGAGGAAGGGCTCTTTCCACTGTTGCTTGGTCTATAGTCTGGAAGACAAAAACCAGGGTTTCCCAGCCACACAATCTTACTTGCTAATCAAAGACGTTTATAATCCATCAGGACTTCTTAGTAACAAGTGGGACCAAGAATGTGATCTCCATTATCTGTTAATAGGGAATGAGGATGATTGATTTATAGGAGCTCCTTCATAAACATATCTGTGTTTAAATGGGAATTTTGACACTATATTTTTTTAAAAAAAAAAAAGCTGCATGAGATGCTAAAAGTGATGTAAACATTGGGAAGACAGTTGCCCTATCAGAACTTTCATTCTAGGAAATGTCAACTGAACTTAATGCTATAACAGCAATAATCGAGGTATTCACTGTGTGTGAAATACGACATTGTGCTGTCTAGTTTATGTAAACTTGACATAAGCCAGAATAATTTAAGAAGAGAGCATATGCCCACACCAGACTGTCCTGTGGGCAAGCCTGTGGTGCCTTTTGTTGATTGATGATTGATTTGGAAGAGCCCAGCTCACTGTGGGTGGTGCCACCCCTGGGCTGGAGGCCCTGAATGGTATAAGAGAGCAGGTTGAACAAGCCATGGGGAGCAAGCCAGTAAGCAGCACACACACCACCATACCACCATGGTCTCTGCATCAGCTCCAGTCTCAAGGATCCTGACTCATTTGACTTCCTGGCCTGACTTCTCTCAATGATGGACATGGAAGTGTAAACTGAAATAAACCCTCTCCTCCTCTAGTTGCCTTTGATCATGGCATTTTGTCACCCCAATAATAACCCTAACTAAGATAAACATGTACCTTATTTTACTTAATGGTCTCAAGAACCCTAGGAGATGGGTTACATTATCTGCATTTTCACTGAAAGTTGATAAAATGATGGGCCTAAACTCACAGGGTAAAAAGACTTGAACTTCAGCTAAGCAAGCGCCTCTCTCTCTTAGCAACGTGAGCCCACCCACCTCATTAAGACTATGGTCTTTATACCCACAGCAAAACACTGAGCTGAACTCCGGAATCCAGGTGCAGAGAGGGAGGAGTGATGAGCAAAGGGGTCAAGACCAGGCTGGAGAAACCCACAGAAACAGCTGACCTGAACAAGGGGTTGCTCATGGACCCCAGATTGATAGCTGGGACACCAGCATAGGTCTGTTCCAGACCCCCTGAAGGAGAAAGTCAATTTGGAGGTCTGGACAATCTATGGGGCCACTGGTAGTGGATCAGTATTTACCCCTAGTTCACGAATGAACTTTGGGAGCCCTCTCCAAATGGAGGGATACTCTCTCAGCCTAGACACACTGGGGAGGGTCTAGGCCCTGCTCCAAATGATATGACAGACTTTTGAAGATCCCCATGGAAGGCCTCCCCTCCCTGGGGAGCAGAAAGAGATTGGAATACTGGGCCGGTGGGGGGCATGGGAGGGAGAGGAAACTGAGATTGACATGTAAAAGAAGCTTGTTTCTAATTTAAATTTAAAAAAAGAAAAAAATAATATGGTCTTTTTATGTATGTATGTATTTTACATGTATGGGTGTTTTGCCTACAGGTATGTCTGTGCACCATGTGTACTGCTGATACCTGCAGGTGCCAGAAAAGCATGTTAAATCGTTGGGGATTAGAGTTACAGATGGTTGTGAACCATGTGGGTGCTGGGAATTGAGCCTGGGTCCTCTGGAAGAGTAGCCAGAGCTCCCAACCACTAAACCATCTCTTCAGTCCCATAAGATAAGAGATCACCACACACACACACACACACACACACACACACACACACACACACACACACACACACACTTTTGTTTGTGAGACAGGATTTATCTGTATAACAGCCCTAATTATCTTGGCACTCACTGTGTAGACCAGGCTGGCCTTGAACTAACAGAGATCTGCCTGCCTCTGCCTCCCAAGTGCCAGGTTTAAAGGTGTGCACCACCATGCCCAGCAAGGATATGGTCTTAAATAAACTCAGTCAGTGTACACACACAGCACAAACACACAGCCACTATGTGCTGCCGGTAAGCTCATGGTAGAAATCTGCACACTTGGCCATGTCACACAAGTCACACTAGAGCTCTTCATGACATGGCATCTTCCAGCCAGAACTAAATAGAGAAAGATCTTTTTTCCAGACCTCCAGACCATCTGGTAAAAGGAGCCTGGACAGCCTGACCTCTGAAGTACATTGTGGCTTCAGCCTCTTGGAATACCATGGTTTAAGAACATACGCCCACAGAGAGACAACCAGAAAAAGAGATAAGAAGTCCAATGACATCAAAGACCATGGTTTCACTTAGTGGAGGGCTGGGAAATGTCTAACAACCAAGAAGAGTTCTGACGTGGCTGTTGGGTGATTTCTTTATGTAAGAAGAAAGTCAATCAGCATAGCCTGGAACTTGCTGAAACTTTTCTCACTTTTCAACTATACAACTGATATCTTTGCTAAATCAGGAGTTTTTGAGAACAGAATTAATATTTTCTCAATTTTGCATGCTACTCAACTATAGACATACAAATTAAAGCAATACAAGATAGTGGCACAGAACAATGTATTTTATTGTGATATTGTCACACAAGCATGTAATACATTTTGATCTTATCCCATATCTCCTATTATCCTCACTTGCCTCACCACCATCTTCTTTCTGATCCCCTCCTCTTCTCTAAAAGCCTCCTTTCATTAGACTTAAAACATTTTTTTCTAGATGAGATTTTGCTATGCAGCCCAGGCTGGGTGAGAATTTGCATTCATCCTGCCTCAGCATCCCAAGTGCTAGTTAAAACATAAAGTTTTAACTTTCATTTTACCACTCTTTTTCCATATTTTCCTAAATTTAGACTCCTAGAAAACCTATACATATGTCTAATAAATAGGTCAAGCCCTGATTTTCAGCATTTATCAATTTCAAAAGTAGGAATGTTTCCACCATGGCCAACACCAAACTTCCATCATGATAGCAATATCCTTAAAAATAAATAAGCACGGCTGCAACATCCTGTAATGCATCCACACTACCCAGTGTAGATATAAATAGTCTGAAATGGAGAGAATGGCAAAACACAGTGAAATCATGAGGAATTGGTGATG